TTTTTTTTTTTTGGTTGCAGCCATCGTTGTTGTTTGGTGGGTCCGGGCTGGACTCGAACCTGCCACCTTAGGTGTATGTGGCTGGCGCCTTAGCCGCTTGAGCCACAGGCACCGAGCCAATCCTAGCATTTTCAAGGCTGAGGCAGGAGGATCACTTGAGCTCAGGAGTTAGAGACCAGCTTGAGCAAGAGCAAGACCCCATCTCGACTAAGCATAGAAAAATTAGCCTGGTGTTGTGGCACTCACCTGTAGTCCCAGCTATTTGGGAGGCTGAGGTGGGGAATCGCTTGAGTCCAGGAATTTGAGCTAAGAGTCCAGTGAGCTAAGATAATACCACTGCACTCTACCTGAGGTGACAGAGCAAAACCCTGTCTCAGAAAAAAAAAAAAAGAGAGAGAGAGAGAGAGAGAGGGAGAGCTCATAAATAGCACTGTGGTGCTTGAAGTCTAATTCAGTCTGTTGTCTTAATGACAACAGAGCCTGATCAAGTAAGTGTCCAGTGAAGTTTCACTGAATTAAATAAATTTTCTCCATTCCAGTGAATTAAGTAAATACTCATGCAAAGGAGAAAATAAGGGAAGATTAAAGAATCTTAATCTTCCCCAGGAGACCAGGGAATCTCTAAACTCAATTTATAGACATGCTACTACCAATTGTAATTAGGGAAAATGATTTTTTCCACCAGTAAATGGCAGTCTTCTGGGTATAATTAACCTGTGCCTTGCTACAGTTCTACAGCTCTGACCCAAGAGTGGGAAACAGGCTGGGAACCCTGTAGGATGTCTTCGGGGCTGCAAACAGAAGGCTCAAGGATTCAGGATTGCTGGATTCAGTTCAGTCAGCTTTACCTGCAACAGCGTTGGCTGGCAGGAAGCGGGCAGAAAAGGGGGAGTTGTGCCCACATGGGGAAAGGGAGCTCACACTTTACCAAGGGGGAGCATGGATACTGTGGGGCAGAATCCTGGGCTCCCACCTGCAACCAGTAATTATTTTTTAGGCTTACAATGAATATGTTCTTTTTTTTTTTTTTTTTAGACAGAGTCTTACTATGTTGCTCTTGGTAGAGTGCTGTGCTGTCACAGCTCACAGCAACCTCAAACTCTTGGGCTTAAGTGATTGTCTTGCCTCAGTCTCCCAAGTAGCTGGGACTACAGGCCCCAGCCACAACGTCAGGCTAATTTTTTGTTGCTGTTGTCATTGTTGTTTAGCTGCCCTGGCCAGGCCAGCCCGGTGTATGTGGCTGGTGCTGTATCCACTGTGCTACCGGTGCCAAGCTGATATATTCTTATCTAGGACATCTGAATAACTTTCCTCAGCTCTCTGGACAGAGATGTCCTCAACAGCTGTGCTGCAACAGACTCCAAAGATATCATATCCTCCAGTGGCCAAATATGGGCTCAAGGGCACAGAAGGCTGTCGGTGCTGTCTTCTTCTGGATGCCTCTGACATTGGCCATGTGGCTGAGGTACTTAAGAAGTAGGCTGAGGCAAGAGGATTGCTGGAGCCCAAGAGCTTGAAGTTGCTGTGAGCTATGATGCCACAGCACTCCCCAAGGCAACAGAGTGGGACTCTAAATAAATAAATAAAAGACCGATGGAGGTTTAGGTGGAGTTGGGACTGGCACTGAGGCCACAATACGTAACTGCAGATACTACAGAAGGCCTAATGTTTGGACAGCCAATGTGGAGTTCTCCTTTATGCAACTGTATCACAGAATCAAGACATTAGGATTTTTTATTGGTGGATAGATACTCTGCTCTTTAGTTTTAATGGGCAAAATTTAATTTACTAAGTACGGAGGCCCCAGTTGTTTACATCTTTCTCTCTAGGACACTTATCTGTCCCTCCGAGGGAAAACTAATTTCTCTTCCCTGCCTGTGTGACTATCTGGAGCAAATCTTGAGATAATAGGGGATTCCCTGTTACTGTTATTAACACCCCATCTAAATTAAAAAAGAGAGAGGAAGAAAATCTTAGAGTAAATTCTAGCTGATGCCCCTGGCTTACAGTATAACATAAAGATCTTACTTTAAAAAGCTTTTAAGTACTCAAGAGAACTCCAAGTGTATATAATACAACATGACTTCAATTAATTTTGCAGAGTTGAACCAACCGAACGGACAGGAGCTGGCATAAGTTCTACTCAAGACAAAACCTAACGCACAAAGAAGGGGAGGAAATCACCAGAATCGGGTGGGCATGCGGGTTCCCTACACACTTGCACGCCCGAGCAGCTCGCGCAGGCGCACAGCCGTGCGAAAGGGCTGGGGAGATGTTTCCCGGGCGCCCCGCTCCTCCCTGCTGCACTTTCCGTCATCACCGCAAGGGGCGGCCGCGGCCTCCGTAGCGGCAACAGACAAGAAGCTGCGCGGCCCGGGTTTCCAGCCGGGCCGTTTTCTCCGACGGGCCCCAGCATGGCTGCCCCCAGGGCTGCGGGCCGGATGGCTGCTGCACTTTGGCTTTCCTGACATCCCCTGGCTTCTGTGCTCTCCTTGCCTTCCCCGGGCCATCCCAGCAGACATGTTTGCCAAGGCCTTTCGGGTCAAGTCCAACACGGCCATCAAGGGGTCGGACAGGTGAGGGAGGAAAGGGGCCTGCTCTGTTCACTCGGACACCCAGACATCTCTTGGGCCAGGCTGGCCCCCAGTCTTCGCTGGACTGGGTCAGCCAACCTAGGGAGGGGGCCGAGGAGTCTAGCTTTTCCCCAGGAGGAAAAGTGGGAGTCCCAGACATATTTTGAGGGTGAGGATGGAGAGGGAACCAGGCTTTCTTTTGCATATTTTAATGAATTTATAAGAAAACGTAATTAAGGCAGCGTTTGGTGACTGCAGACTGAGGTGTTGATGTTGCAAAAATGAAAAGAATATAGGGTTACCGCCTTTCAGAGAGCTTAGAGCCCCTTAGGAGAGATCACATGAGTCATCAAGAATTAAAAGTGTTCAAGAAAAAAATGTTTAGCGATAACTTCTGGCAGGAGAGACAGCTGGAAGCCGAAGTGGCACATGTAAGAACTGTATCTGTGCAGATGCTGCCTTGGGAATTTTGGAACCAGTGTTCTATAGTTGTCATTCTTGATGTTAAAGTATAGTTATTTAATAAGTTGACAGATTTGCCAAGCGTATATGAGAAACAAGTGGGTCTGAGAAGGGGAACGGAATCAGGAAGGCAGAGCTAAGTTTTCTGTGTCAGAAAAACTTGGATTGCTCACTGGGCCTCAGTTTTGCTATCCATAAAATAGAAACGTCTAATAGATGAGACATTAGATGAGAAAGAGAATAGGATATTCTGAAAGAGTTTATGAGAATAGGGTGTCATAAACCAGAAATTCTGTTTCCTTGGCCCTCATGATTTTGTAGTGAGTCCTTCTGAGTTCTTGATATTTACTAATGTCCATTCAGGCAGCATTCATGGTGCTGGTGTACTTTCTGCAGGAGAAAGCTTCGAGCTGATGTGACAGCTGCTTTCCCCACCCTTGGAACTGATCAGGTTTCTGAGTTAGTACCTGGAAAGGAAGAACTCAACATTCTGAAGTTGTATGCTCACAAAGGAGATGCAGTGACCGTGTACATGAGTGGTGGTAACCCCATCTTATTTGAACTGGAGAAAAATCTGTATCCAACAGGTATGGCAACAGGATAGAGATGGCCATTACTATAGTCCCTACCTAAAATCTGCTTCTCTCATCTTCTTCCATTAACTTGCCTTCCATAAAACAAGCACAAAATCTCTCAGTACTATCCCTAAGGATCTTTGTGGACTTGATGTTCCTCAATGTGGGTCTTTCAGAACCAGAAACCTCTGTAGGAGGGAGAAAAATGGGTAAACACAGAAAGAAAGTGTAGTTGCACAGGAAAATTCTGAAATGAAGGAAAAATGGCTGAGGAGTTTACAGTGGTCTATTTAGGGATAGAGCAGAAATCTTGAAAAGGATGGAATTTCAGGTCGTGTAAAAAAAATTTTTTTTTTAAACAGAGTCTTTGGGCTCGGCACCTGTAGCTCAACCGGCTAAGGCGCCAGCCACGTACACCTAAGGTGGCGGGTTCGAATCCCCAGCCTGGACCCGCCAGACGACAATGACGGCTGCAACCAAAAAATGGCCGGGCATTGTGGCGGGCGCCTGTGGTCCCAGCTACTTGGGAGGCGGAGGCAGGAGACTCGCTTGAGCCCAGGAGTTGGAGGTTGCTGTGAGCTGTAATGCCACGGCACTCTACCCAGGGGGACAGCTTGAGGCTCTGTCAAAAAAAAAAAAAAAAAACAGAGTCTTTGGCCCTGAGATTGAGTGTTGTGGTGTCATAGCTAACAGCAACCTCAAACTCTTGGGCTCAAGCAGTCCTCTTGCCTCAGTCTCCTGAGTAGCTAGGACTACACGTGCCTGCCACAACATCTAGCTATTTTAGAGACAGGTTCTTGCTCTTGCTAAGGCGGATCTTAAACTTCTGAGCTCAATCAATCCACCTGCCTCAGCCTCCCAGAGTGCTAGGCTTACAGGCGTGAGCCATCATGCCCAGCTAAAAAATGTTTCTTAAAATGATTTATAACGAGATCTTTCTAAGATTTTGAAGAGAGATACTGCAGGAGGAGAGAAACAGGTTTCATTAAGTTACATACCCATCTGTCTTAATGATGTATTTGAGTCAGATGTCTCACAAGGATTCATTTAGGCTCTATGGGCACTCTAGTATTCTTTACTTTCTCTTTGTCACAAATCTCAGGGACTCAGTCTCCTTTTCTCTTTTCCACAGCTGTTGACACATACTTTGTCACTTGGGGCTTCTTATCCTTTAGGATTAGCTGCAGCAGTGCAATGTAATCTCCTTTGGCTGCTCCTGCCCCTACCTCCATTTCCCTGCTATACCTGGAGACAAACACAGACCCTTTTTGACCTAAGGTTTTATTGCTAATCACTTTGAAAGAGGGAAAATAAATATGATAAACATGGGAAAGTCTCACAATTTCTTACAGTCTGGCTTGCTCTTCTTATGTTACTTGCTTCTGAATCCATAATTGGAAATCTTACTGCTCCTGTGCCCCTACTTTTATCCGCTGTGGTCACTTTTTACTGCTGCAATCCAGATGCCTCCAAGTCTCAAGTGACACTCGGTTTTTTAGGTTTTGCTAAAATAAACCTCTTTGGGAATTCCCTTACAGCCTTCTTTCTAGCTTTGAGTTGAGTTTCTTTTCTGTACTCTAATTAAAATGACCATAGTGTTAGGCTTTTCCAATTCCCTCGGGAATTAACTTTTTGGTAGTGAGTGTTTTCTGGGTCTCTTTTGGTACAGTATACACGCTGTGGTCCTATCCTGATCTTCTACCAACCTTTACAACATGGCCTCTGGTACTCGAAAAACTGGTAGGGGGAGCAGGTAAGAGGATTTTTCTATATTCTGGCTATTGACTGAAATCTACTTAATAAGGGCCTACTGACTTAATATATTTACCCATTTTGTGTGTTCATGTGGTTGAAAAATGGAATTTTCCCCCTGTGTGTGTTACATCTCTCACTTGACTGATTCCATGAGCCCTGTGGGCCTCTCTGATCCTATTGTAGCGCTTAAATAAGATGAATTATACGAAAGTACTTTGCGAATTGCCCTTTACTATATACTTCAAGTCAATAAGCTGAATTTAGGAAATCAGGACAAGATTGTGGTGTAGAACACCCAGTCTGGAGCCTCAGTTTGACCACTAGTCCCCTAAAGGGAAAAGGTCTGATAACTTAAATTGTGATTTTTCATTTTTATTACGAATAATATATGTTTCTTTGTCAGGTGGGTAAATAAAAGGTGAAGCGAAATATAGAATTAGATGGATGCTTTTGTTTTGTTTGCTACAGATTTGATGCTGCCAGGACTATTTGTACCCCCTGCTGGTCTGCCACAGGTACAGAAAGGGGACCTCTGTGCCATTGCCTTGGTGGGGAACAGGTACTGTGCCAGGCAGCTGTGTCTTTTGGGGGGTGGGGGGAAACTTAGGAAAAAAGGAGGTTGGAGGGGAATGATAACTTCCAAAGCATACAGACAAAGGATTGAATTAAAAATAGGTTCTTCTGGTTGAGCATAGTGTGGTTCACACATGTAATCTTAGCACTTTGGGGAGCTAAGGCAGGAGGATCACTTCAGGCCAGGAGTTCAAGCCCAGCCTGGGCAACATAATGAGGCCCCATTCCCCATAAAAAATTTAAAAAATTAGCTGGCATGATGGTACATGCTTGTATTTCTAGCTACTCAGGAGGCTGAGGCAGGAGGATCCCTTAAGTCCAAGAGTTAGAGGTTGCAATGAACTATGGTTATGCCACTGAAGTCTAGACTGGGTGACAGAGTAAGACCCTGTCTAAAAAAAGAAAAAAAAAGAAAATAACAGAAAGAAAAAAAAAAAGACTTTCTTGAAAGAAGCAGCAGGGAATGGGCCATTGGGGAATATCAGTGAGTCTGAACCTCTTGGGAGGACACATGCATCTGGTCTGAATATACATGCTGCTGTTGCTTTCTTTTAATTAAAAAAATAATAATTTTATTTTATAGGAGAGTTGCAAAGATAGGAGAGTTCTGATTTAGTCTTTACCCCAGCTTCTTCTGATAGTAATATCTTACAGAATCACAATATGGTTATAACAACTAAAGAATTAACATTGGTACAATACTGCAAACTAAACTACAGACTTTATTTGTATTTTCCATTATTGTCTTTTTTTTGGTTCGAGGATCCAGACTAGGATACCACACTGCATTTAGTTGTCATGTCTTCTTGGTCTCTCTGTAACATGTATTTGATTTTTCCCTGTCTTTCATCACCTTCGTAACTTTCCCCTAGTACCCACATCATCAGCCTCATATTTTAATTACTTTAATAGCTTTATTGAGATACAGTTTATATACCATAAAATTCATCTCTTAAAAATGTATGTTTCGGGCAGTGCCTGTGGCTCAGTGGGTAGGGCGCTGGCCCCATATACTGAGGGTGGCGGGTTCAAACCCGGTCCAAACCCGGTCCCAGCCATATTGCAACAAAAAATATAGCTGGGCGTTGTGGCGGGCGCCTATAGTCCCAGCTACTCGGGAGGCTGAGGCAAGAGAATTGCCTAAGCCCAGGAATTGGAGGTTGCTGTGAGCTGTGTGACGCCACAGCACTCTACCAAGGGCGATAAAGTGAGACTCTGTCTCTAAAAAAAAAAAAATGTATATTTGTTATTTTTGGTATTTATAGAGTTGTTCACATATCACCCACTTCTTTTTTTGAAAAAAAAAAAACAAATTAGGAAGTCATTGTGTAAACAACTTTAAAAAAATGAAAATCCCCCTTGCACCACAATCCTTTTCTCTCAGAAGTAACCATATCATTTTGATGTGTATCCTCATTGCCCTTTAATTTTTTTTTTGGAGAGAGTTTCACAACAACCTCAAACTCCTGGTCTCAAGGGATCCTCAGCCTCCTAAGTAGCTGAGACTACAGGGACCTACCACAATGCCTGGCTAAGTTTTCTTTCTTTTTTTGGTTTTGTTTGTTTGTTTGTTTGTTTTTGTTTTTTGAGACAGATCTTACTTCATCATGTTCGGTAGAGTGTTGTGGCATCATAGTTCACAGCAACCTCAAAATCTTGGGTTCAAGTGATCCTCTTACCTCAGCCCTAAGTAGTTGGGACTACAGACACCTATCACAGTGCCTGGCTATTTTTAGAGATAGGGTCTCACTCTCGTTCAGGCTGGTCTTAAACTCCTGAGCTCAAGAGTTCCGTCTGCCTTGGCTTCCAGAGTGCTAGAGTGAGCCACCGTGCCTGGCCTCTGGCTGAGTTTTCTATTTTTAGTAGAGACAGGGTCTTGCTTTTGCTCAGGCCGGTCTCAAACTTGTAAACTCAAGCAATCCACCTATCTTAACCTCCTAGAGTGTTATGATTACAGGCATCAGCCACCACACCTAGCCACTCATTACTCTTCTTGAATGCATATATACATATGTGTATAAAAATACTATATGGTTTGGGTATGTGTATTTAAAAATACAAACAAACCAAGTTACATTTGTATCATTTTTTCACTTAATATAGTATGGACATTTTTCATGTTAGCATACACAGATCCGCTGAATTTCTATATTTGCTGTGTAGTAATGGAAGAATTCCTGTCCTGGAGGACACTGAGGTTGCCTCCAATTTGTCTCTATAGCAATGTGTTACTGATGCCACTGGGGACACCAGTGCCAATATTTTTCTAGAGGGAATACTAAAATGCAAAACTGGTAGATTGAAAATTGTGTGTGTTTCTGTTTCTTTACAAAAAGGCTGTATCAGTACTCCTACCGACAGCATCTATGGAACCTGTTTCCCTACCTCTTACCAAGACTGGATGTGGTGGATCTTTTTCATTTGTGTCTTCCTAGTGAATGAAAAATGACATCTCATTATTTTAATCATTGCTTCTTTGAGAGAGAAGGAGAGAGAGATTGTAGGCATAGGAGGGGTCAGTCTTTAAAGATCTTATTTTTGCTACTTACATTCTTCTATTTTCCCGGAACCGTTTGCAACCGAAGCACCTAGAATCTTATTTCCCTGTGACAAAATTACAGTTGAAAAGAATGGTGGCATCATTATTTTTCCCCCAGTATTCTATCCGGGATAGGAAGAAACTGTGTAAATGGGTATTTGGCTCTACTCAATTTAGCTTTCAGAGTATAGTTGGGTATGATTTGTGGCACAGGTTAAGTGTATGGGCGGCAGGAGGAGCAGGGGATTGTTAAAAATATAAGTCACATTCAAGACTGGAATGGAAGGAAAAAACCTTTTTTAGAGGTGGAAGGAAAGAAACCCTCTTTTAAGAAATAGAAAAGAATAACTCCAGAATGTAGAACAACAACAAAAAAGAAAGAAAGAAAGAAATGAGAAAGAAGCCATATTCAAAATTGCTGTGGCAGGAACTGACCTATCGGTACAGGCAGTCCCTGAGGCACTGAGGTACGACTTGCACTTACAAATGGAGGGTATAAGTCATAGGTCAATGTACCTGTTTCAACTTACATACAAATTCAACTTAAGAACAAATTATAGAATCTATCTTGTTCATAACCCAGGGACTTTCTATGTGGTAAATAGAGCCACCGGGTTTAGTAAAAAGAATTTTAAGTTCAAGTGTTGGGAACCCTGCCTTTGAGTCTTCTCCCTGGAATCCTGGCTACCTTGCCAGTCCTGTGTACTTGGCCACTGTTACCCAGCTGGTCACCTATCCCACAGGTAGTGTGTGACCAATGCTTGAGTACTGTCATCTCTGGATGATAGAGATTTCTCGTTTGGGCTTCGGGAGTTTCTGTAGTTCCTATGATGTGATGGTTTCTGATGTCCTGGAAGTACCCATTTCTTAGATGTGTAGTTACACGGAGCAAGCCCGGTTATAAGGAGCCCACTCAGAGGCAACCTCTCTGGCTGGCTTCACTATTTATCTCTTCACTCTCCCCTATGGCCTCCCTCAACCTCATTTATGGCATATGAATTGCTTCCCCTCTGACCTTCCTTATAGGATGGCTATGTCTTCTTTAAGGTAGAGGAGATAAATAACTTAGGTTTTTGGAATTAAAGAAAGGGAACTATAAATACCCTTCCCTGTCCTGCCTGGGTTTAATTCATAATAGTAATAAAACAAAGGCAGTGATAACATCAGGAGAGGAATCACTTCTACAGAAGGATAATGTTTGGTTAGGAGATTTTTGAAAATAATATCTGTAGGTAGTCTAAAGAAAACTGGGACCGGACTGGGGTAGTGTCATGATAGAACAGGATCTTCAGATTGGTAACTGGTGCTTTTACCACCCGTGTGGAAAGATGGCCCTAACATGTACTCTCTAGTAGACTTTCTCTGACCCTTTCTCTGGCTTCCTTCTTAGAGCCCCAGTAGCAATTGGAGTTGCTACCATGTCCACAGCTGAGATGCTGACTTCAGGCCTGAAGGGAAGGGGCTTCTCTGTGCTCCACACTTACCAGGACCATTTGTGGTGGGTACAGTGTTTTTTCCATTGATAGGTGGAGAGAGCATGGGGGCCTGAGATTCAGAAGTGAGAGTGTTGGTCCCAGCCTTGTCCTTGGGCAAGTTGCTAACCCCAGACTTTCATTTCCTTGCCAGATTTAGAGAAAATAACTCTTTTCCCTTTTTGAACAAGAAATTAGAGAGAACTGTGATTATTTGGGGGTGGTGGTAGTATGTGAATTAATAGAATCCTAGACTTGAAAGAAGACCTTAGGACTTGTCTACTCTGCCCTTGAGTATGGTGATGTTCAATTTTTTATAGCTCTGGTCAGTCTGGCCTTATCTACCGTGCACATTTTAGGCATCGTCTGGCCCTGTGGTGAGGACTTCTGAATCCTAATCGAAGCAGGTACAGCCTTAGGCAGCAGGATGATAACCTGCCTAAATTCATGTTATTCAAATTTCATGTTTCAGACTCCTCATTATTGGAAATAACACTTTCTGTAGCAGTAGCTTTCTTGAACCAGATACCAATTCATTATCTGGTTATTTGCTTGTCATTTTACTATTTTACTATGAAAATAGTTCATAGTGCTTTCTTCAAAAGCCAAGTACCTGGTCTTTTAGCCATGTGTTGTGACCTATCAGTATAGATTCATCCTTCTATTTTCTAGCCCACTCTTAGGGTTATTCATTTGATAGATATTGGCCAAGCACAATCTCATTGGCCTAAAAAAATAGCAGATATTTGAGAGCTGATGACTGATGTTTCCTAGCTACTTCTTCTGTCAGTCCAGGCAATAGCAGTCACAGTCATATGGTCTAAGTTGTTTTATCGGTAACTGCCTTTATATTATTTACCTGATCAGAATAACCTAAACATACACTTTGGCATTACTGTTAAAGGTACTAATAAAGCTTACTACAGCTATTAGTTATAACTTAGTATGACCTCCATATTCATGTCCAAGATCAAGCTTTTTACCTCTCCACATCCTCTGTTAGGTGGCCTTGCTTTTTTCCCCTGTCTTCCTATGGCCCAGGGGCATAAAACTGTGGTAATCTCTACTTTGCAAGTTAGGTTGCATTTGATTTACCACAGAAGCCACTGAAGCTGCAGTCCTGCACCAGTTTTTTTATGTGCCATGGAGCTCTGGGTTTGTATTTCACCGAACTGGTACTGCAGATACATTTTTGATCTTAATGTTATTTTATTCAAAATGATTTCATTATTAACTCAAACAAAGGGAACATTTTGGGGGCCTTAAGCTGATTTTTCTTTAATCTTTCTTTGTCTTGGGATGTCTGTTATTCTTTTGGGAAGGCAAAACTTACTGTCCCCATTTAAGAATTGAGGAAATGGAGGCATGGGTTTTCTAGGCCCAGAATTGAAAATAGGGTTGAGACAAGAGCACAGGCTCTCTGCTCTGTCCTGGACATTCCTGCCTGTCAGCTCTTGCTCTCTCCTGACTAGGGTTGGAGAGTGTTGTGGCTATCGCTTGGTGTTTCTGACTTGAGATTTTTCCAGGCGGTCTGGAGACAAGTCCTCTCCACCTTCCATCGCTCCACGGGCCCAGGATCCCACAGATCTCAGTGAAGAGAAGGGGTCTATCCAGGTGAATCCCACCCTGCAGGAAGACATGGGGCACCTGACCCTGGAGGGAGAGGAGGAGGCGAATGGGGAGGTCCATCAGGTGTGTGGGGAGAGGCCCCTCTCAGAAGCCTCAGAAGACACCAGTACTGGAGGCCTGAATCATGGCTCCACAGACAGCAAAACCCTTCAAGGTAGAACTCTGGGGGTAGAAGGGCCCATCTCCCCCCCTCTCAATTTAGGAGCCCAGTGTGCTCCACCCCACTTCTGAGGACAGTAGCCCTGAAGCTCCGAGAGAGGAAGGAAAGCCCTTATTTCTGTGAGGGCGGTGCATAGCCCTTTGACGTCTTGATGTCCTTTCTGCATGGGTCATGTCTCCCCGGTGCCAGTCTGCCCTGGCGTTTGGACTGTTTCCAGCTGCAGAGCCCTCTAGGGCTCTGTTTTTTAGTGTTTTTTAGCCTTTGTTCTTTACGGCACACTTGAGCCTATAGTTAAATTTTCTCAGCACATTTAAATGATATTGATCAAAAAAAAAGTTAAGAAAATATACTTACTATGCTTTGAGCTTCTCCTGAAAATAATTTAATTAATGATCTTTGAAAATTGTCATGGCACACCTATTGAAAGTCACTCTTTGGGGTATCATCTGGCTCTGACTGTCTTTGTGAATGTTCCTAGCTTGGTGGGTCTTAGTGGCTCGACTCCTTCTCTGGGGTCAACCCCTCCCAGTGCTCAAAAGAGTCTGGGAACTTTAGTACCTGGAAATGGGCTCCTTTTCAGAGGCACGGGGGTAAGGTGGGGATAGAGCGAGGGAGTTGTTCCCTAGCATTCTGTATCCCTCAGGAAGGATGTTGTTCTTGTCTTTTTCTTACAGAGCAAATGGATGAATTATTACAGCGATGTTTCTTGCATGCTTTGAAGTGCCGAGTCAAAAAGGCTGACCTCCCTTTGCTGACCAGCACGTTCCTCGGCAGCCACATGTTCTCCTGCTGGTATGGAAGGCAAAAGGCTGGGGACCGGGTCTCTTCTTTCTTGGCAGTAGGACAGGACAGGGCTGCTAGGAGGCCAGTTGAGGGTCATGGTATGGAAGACTGATCTGGAAAGTGAATTAGGTCCTAGGTTCAGTGTCTCATGCCTGTAATCCTAGCTCTGGGAGGCAGAGGCAGGTGGATTGCCTGAGCTCAGGAGTTCCAGACCAGCCTGAGCCAACATGAGACTCCATATCTAAAAATAGCCAGGACATGTTGGGGGAGGGGGGCCTGGAGTCACAGTTATTGAAGATGCTGAGGCAAGAGGATTGCTAGATTCCAGGAGTTTGAGGTTGCTGTGAGCTGTGATGCTATGGCACTCTACTCAGGACAACAGAGGGAGACTCTGTCTCAAAACAAAACAAAAAACAAAAGAAAAAGAAAAGAAAAAAACCTTAAATTTAGCTAGTGAAAGGATGCTGAGGAAATGGAAGGTTAACATTGCCAAGACTCTCTGAACACTGCCTCTGCTGTGGTGGTACTAGGCTGTCTGTGATGAATCGGCAGCATGTCCACTCAGGAAGTGTCCCAGAGGCGCCCTCTCTGTCAGGAGGCTTTTCTCGGATCATTCAACCCCCTCAGGCTTCTGACAAGTAGGTGGTCCAGATTATTTTATTAGGAGGAAGAATAGTTGTGAACCCTTACCCCATTGAGACCAGGAGCCTCTAGGGAGGTGGTGTTACATGAGGGTGGAACCTGGACTTTTAAGACAGAGCCATCTGGGCTGAACTGGAGTGTCTGAGCAAGGGAGATTTCAACTAGTTATTGGGCTTCTTTGAGCCTTAATCACAGGGTTGCTGTAAAGATTAAGTAGCCTGACACATAATAAGTACTCGATAAAGACTATCCTATCAAGAGGTTTGCTTGTTTATTTTTACCTGGAGATTGAACTTCTTTCTTTTTGAGAATCTTGCTCTGATCTTTAAAACAGTAGTTTTCAATGTAATCACTTCCCATTTACACACCAGCTTCTTTAAGGGATCGTATTACAAGTGTGCGTCCAGAGTATGTGGTGGGATACTGTCTGACCTTTCAGGGTTACAAGTAGCTGGCAAAGGGGTCATAGAATATTCTGTAGGACAGAACTTCTTAAACTGGAGCGGGCTTTAGAGGGGCTTCCTAGGAATCCCACTGCTCTTGCATGTCACATTTTGAGAGAAGATATAAGTTCTGGGGAGAGGAAAAAATTTATAGTTTTTAATCAGGAACCTTCCTGTCAAAACTAATTACTGTAGAGCAAGGGCCAGCGAACTTTCTGTGTAGGTCCAGGTAGTAAATGTTTTCTGCACAGCAGTCCATACCATCTCTATTGTAGCTATTCCCCTCTGCTATTGTAGCCCTAATGTGACTACATCTTATTTGCTAAACCCTGCTATAGGCCTGTCTGCCTGCAGGGTCAGCTTGGCGTTGGAAGGGTTCACCTTGAAGGGGCACTTTTGAGGCCACAGAAGGTTGTCTAATCTGAGAGGATCTAAAGCTGTATGCAATATAGTAGCCACCAGCCACATGTGGCTATTTTAAATTTAAATTAATTAGAGGTAAATAAAATTAAAAATTCAGTTCCTGGGTCATATTAGTCTCCTTTCACGTGCTTAGTAGCGACACGTGGCTAGTGGCTACCACGTTAGACCACATGGATAGAAAGCGATAGAAATCATCTGTCTGGGAAGTTGTGCAGACGGCACTGACTTAGCGGCCCACAGTCTGTATCCCTCTGTGGTTGCGGGGGGTGTGGGGGAGGAGGCTGAGGAAAAAGGCGATCCTCTCAGTGTCAGGCAGGTCCGCTGCTACTGCTCGTCAGCTTGACTTGCCTTTTCCATCTGCCATCAGCCCTGAAGGACGACAATTGGACATAAAGAAGTCAAGCTACAAAAAGGTAAGCAGGCATTTTCTCTGCATGCCCGCACAGAGTTGTGTAGGGGCACACGTGACATGAGCCGCACATGACACCGGGGAAGCCCTGTGTACAGGGCTCCAAGTAAAGAATTAAGTGTTTAGATTTCAGGTATATGGGGGAAAAGAAACTCTCTCTGAGCTGTGGCTGTTGGTGTTACCCCCACCCCCCACCTTTGGCCCCTTTACGTCTGATTTGAGTTCTGCGAGTCTCCCCAGTTAGTGGCTAGCAGCTTCTGGCTCCCAGGCCCGCAGGGTGGGGGCCTCCCAGTTCCTAGTTTGATGAGGGCACAGTTCCTGCCTGTCTTGGTCTGGCATATCCTAGGTGCGCAGTATGTGTGTGGAATCATGAAGTCCCCTACCACTGGCCCTCTCTCCCTTAGCTCTCTAAGTTCCTGCAGCAAATGCAGCAGGAGCAGATTATACAGGTGAAGGAGCTGAGCAAAGGGGTGGAGAGCATTGTGGCTGTGGACTGGAGACACCCAAGGTGAGTGCAGGGGGCCTGGTCACTAGAGTCTAGCTGGCCTCAGGGCACCTGGGCTACAGACTGGGGACTGCCAAGACACTAGTATAAAATGTGTTCTTTTCTTTCCTTCTGCTGGGTTTAGGATCACATCTTTCGTCATGCCCGAGCCCTCCCCGACCTCTCAGACTATCCAGGAGGGTAGCAGGGAACAGCCCTATCACCCTCCAGATATAAAATCCCTCTACTGTGTCCCAGCCAGCATGACCCTGCTCTTCCAGGAGTCTGGCCACAAGTGAGTTTTTGGAGAGCAGCCCTTCTCCGCCTGCCTGGTGTTCTGGCCTCCAGTCCTTCTCAACCTGAGTAGTGCTCTTCTGTGACTGGCAAACCTGCTCTGCCTCATTCTCCCTTTCTCCCAAATCCAGCTTCATACCTCTTCCCCTGGGGAAATTTCACTGGACTAAATGATCGAGAGAGGAGGTCTCTCCCTTTACCCGTGATTATTCTTCACACAGTCATGCTTATCTCAGTCAGGCAAAGGGAAGAAAAGAAAGTGAAAAGCTGAGGAGAGCTCCCTGCTCAGCAGGGACTGAGTCTGAGTGTTGCCGTTTGTGTCCTGGTGCAGCATGAACTAACCCCCTGGTCACTCCTCACCTAGGAAGGGGAGCATTCTGGAGGGCAGCGAGGTCCGAACCATCGTCATTAACTATGCCAAGAAAAACGACCTGGTTGATGGAAACAACAAAAAGTGAGTGGACGAGGAGCAGAACTAGCCCTGCCTTATTGGGTACCCACCTTTAGCAGACATAGATACGTTTGGGGAGGATGTCTGGGATGAAGTATGGAAGAAAGTCACAGCATCTCAAAAATAATCAAGATCGTTGGTTTTCAAACCATGGGCTGGTAACCTTGTAGAGTTAATGTCTGGGGTATTCAGACCCATATAAGCTGTAAACATCAACTATAGACTATAGTTGTATAGTAATTACATCACTTAACCTTCACTAGGGATATTCAAGGGACTTTTGTGGGGAATAAATGTAGACTTAAAAAATATTGACTGAATTGGTATGTGCCACACCTTTTAGGGGCAAGACACGATCGTAAGAGGGACTTTACCTAACAAATGCAATCAATGCAACCTGGTTTCTTGTACCCTCAATGAATCCCCAACGATTAAAAAAAAAAAAAATTGCTGAGGTCATCATGGCTTTTTGGTATTTTCTTTAAATTGATACATGATACTTTTATGGGGCACGTGATATTTTGTTATACATGTAAAATGAGTAATGATCTAGTCATTGTGGGTAACCATCACCTCTGGTATATCGTTTATCATTTCTGTGTGTTGGGAACATTTCAAGTCCTCTCTCCTAGCTATTTTGAAATATACAATACATTGTTGTTAACTGTAGTCACCCTACTCTGCTACTGTGGGGTAGAGCTGCTTCCTTCTGTCTAATGTGTGTACCCATCATGGTATGGTTTCCTTGATAACTGGGTACAGATGGTAAACTCCCAGATGGAGAGAGTTCAATCAGTTGTTCTGTTTTCTTTAAAAAGACATCATTATGATCAAAAATGTTGGTACCCTCATTTAATGCCCTCATTTTCAAAATCCCTGCCTCTTCCTGTCTTTCTTCCTGATTAGCCGACTGTGAAGGTAAGCCCCAGAAAGCTGTAGTCACATAGTTAGCAATGCTAACCTAAGAATTCTGGTCTTTAGATTTATCCCATCCCACTTTCCCTTCTGCTACCTGCTTCTCTTCCTAGGAAAGTATCCATAAGGTATGTTGCCTGGTGGACTGTGGTCCCATAATTGATTTGTATCCTGGATGACCATTCATACAAGAGATGAATTCTGAGTTTGCCCTTGGGTCTGGGGTTTCTTTATTACCTCTTTTTTCTCTTTAGCCTCGTAAAGTTGGATCCCATCCTATGTGACTGCATCTTAGAGAAAAATGAACAGCGCACAGTCATGAAGCTTCCATGGGACAGTCTCCTGACCAGGTAACAGGCATTAGCAGTTGCTCTCAACTTTTCTGTCCCCTGCCCTTAGTATCTGTCACATTGAACTTTAATATTGTCACTATCTTAGTTTCTAATTTTCTTTCTGTAATTCATACCTTGGCAGTCTCATAAACACAGGCTTGAGTAATTCTGATGTGAAGAGTCTTTAGAACAGTTTGAAGAATACAGGAGAATTTGGAAGAAGAAAGAAAAGGAATATTAATTAAAAAATAAGAACTTCAGTAAGGTTTAGAAATAAGGGAAGATTAGGGAGAATTTTCTTAAAAAGTCTTCAAAGGAAAGATTCTTTTTTTTTTTTTTGAGACAGATTCTCATTGTGTTACCCTCGGTAGAGTACAGTGGCGTCACAGCTCACAGCAACCTCAAACTCCTGGGCTTAAGTGATTCTCTTCCCTCAGCCTACTGAGTATCTGGGACTACAGGCGCTTGCCATAACACTTGACTATTTTTTGGTTGTAGTTGTCATTGTTGTTTGCCAGGCATGGGCTGGGTTCAAATCTGCCAGCTCCAGATTTGTATGTGGCTGGCGCCTTAGCCGCTGAGCTACAGGTGCCCAGCCTTGCCACTTGTTTTTATAAATAAAGTTTTATTGGAACACAGCATACCCATTTATGTATTGTCTGATGGCTGCTTTTGTACTATAATGGCAGAATTGAGTAGTTGTAACAGAGACCAGATGTCCTACAAAATCTAAAATATTTATATTGCTTAGCCCTATATAAAAAAAGTTTGTTTTTTTTTTAGAGACAGAGTCTCACTTTGTTGCCCTTGTAGAGTGCCATGGCGTCACAGCTCACATCAAGCTCCAGCTCTTGGGCTTAGGCGATTCTCTTGCCTCAGCCTCCTACAATACCCAGCTATTTTTTGGTTGTTATTGCAATTTGGCTGGGGCTGGGTTTAAACTTGCCACCCTTGGTATATGGGGCCAGCGCCCTACTCACTGAGCCACAAATGCTGCCCATAAAAAAAGTTTGTTAATCCTGATATATGTGATAGCAAGAGAACATTTGGTTATATAAAAGGTAGAAATTCCTTGGGGTAAGGGTATGTTTACTATAAAACATGTCAGAAATGTGAAGCAACATGTGGAGGCAATAGGCTGGGAAAGGTACATTCTTAGGAGAGATAGTAACCTCCATGAAATGGACTGGGCAGGTTCTCAGAGGGCCAGGCCAGTGGACAGTTTCCAGGATCAGTGGGTCTCAACCTTGGCTGCACTTGAGGGAGCTTTTGAAAGTATGTATTCCTGGTCAGAGATACTGATTTAATGGGCCTGGGATACAGCTTTCTAGGTGATTCTAATATACAGCCAAAGTTTCAAATCACTACTCTCTAAGATCGGCTCACACCCAATTGCCTGCTGGTAGTAGAGTATGAGGAGATGGCTTCTGTTGGCTTTATCAGTTTACACCTCATAACTTCCATTTCAGATGTTTGGAAAAATTACAACCTGCCTATCAAGTGATCTTTCCCGGACAAGAGCCCATTGTGAAGAAAGGGAAAATCTATCCAATTGACATCACCCTAGCACAGAGAGCTTCTAATAAAAAGGTAATTTTAAAAAGATACAGTGTTTGAGGATAGTGATTTAATGTCCCTCCAAAGTTCTCCCTAGTATGATTGGAGGTTTTGGGGTTGGTCTCAAAAACCTCAAAGATTATTTATAAAATACCCGTGTTTATGTGCCTGGGCTGGGCCCTGTATGAAACAGGTAAAACTGACCCCTTTGCTCACTGCCCTCAGGATTTTGTCCCAGGAAACTTGCTAGAGCCTGGTTCCAAAAGTAAACAGGATTTTATTTTTATTTTTTTCTTAGAGCTATTTATGGGCTTTCAGCTCTTATGTATTATTTTACCTCTTGAGCATTGTTCAATGAAAATAACTTGTAAAAAATTATTGAAAGAACTGAGTGTTTAGCTTGACAACACAAAGTTGTAGGGAAGCAATTATATCTGTCCTCAAATATGTGAAATGTGCTTTGAAAAAGGAGTGCAGAGGCTCGGCACCTGTGGCTCAAGTGGCTAAGGTGCCAGCCACATACACCTAAGGTGGTGGGTTTGAATCCAGCCCGGGCCTGCCAAA